GACCAATTTGACCAGCACAGATCCTTTGACCAGACCGGTCAAATTGGTCAAATTGGTCTGGTCCAATGGTCAAACTGTTCTGGTCAAGCCAACACTGATTACGATATAAATAATGTACTATGATAAGATTATAAAACTTTCACGTTTTGTTAGCACATTAAAAATGCCTATCATATCCTACTTTATAAATTTAGAGCAGCGTTAAAAGTCGTGGTTATGTGATATTATCAAGATGAAAATGAAGAAAATCAATTAAAAAATAATAGATAATTAAGCTTAATATTTCTTATATTTCCCATAAATGTTTTACAAAAAAAATAGTAATAAGATAAATTAAATATAAAAATTGTATAAACAATAGATGATTTATAAGTCAGATCACTCTATTATCACACAGTCGGGAACGCAATACTTTTTCAAAAATGGAAAATTATATACGTTTGTAATAGTCTGTTTTAAACTAGACATATCTTATAAAGAAAATTTCATCTAATATAGAAAGGCGACTATAGAGAGTCTGACTGTGTTAATTTTGTAACTTAAATATCATATTTAGTATAGATTCAAATTAAATTTACCATCAACCAACTCTTTATAATACTGACTCAAATAAAATACTGGCCCGCCTTGCACGCGAATAGTTCTAGACACCGAATCAATTACCCATTTAGTTTCCATCTGTCCGTGACCAATTCGCCTATCTAGGAAAATTTTATCTGTATAGCTGTTAGCAATTTTTGAAAATGCATTACTCTCTATTTCCATAATTGCATGATCAATTAATTTATGCACAATAGTATTTTGAATCGTGATAGTTGCTACATCAAGAACTTGTTCTGCAACCACATGTTTGACCTCACTTAATCCCATGCTAATAGCACTGATAAAATTGCGTGCTAAGCACAACATTCGAAGTTTTTCATCGGAGATTTCTGAATTAGGGCCACTATACTGCCAAATAAAAAATCTAGTTGGCGTACTATACAATTAATTAGTAAGATATTATCATATATGTTAAAATAAAACAACATTCAATTTTTAATATACCGGTTGCAACTAAACGTGTATGATTCTCCATATTTAAGACACATATATTTGCTGTAATTGACAGCTACACCATAATTGTGAATAGCTATAATATTTATAGGCACAAGTGTTTCGTTAATGACTGTGACAGCCATAATTACTGTCAATGATTCTATTTCTTGGTATGCACGGACTTTTTATAAAGATTTTTTCTTAAGTTTGATTATTTTTATTTATATTTATAGCAATCGGACTTCAAGTCCAATACTTTGTAATAGAGATAACTGAAATCAGTGTTGTCACGGGACAGCTATGGACATAAGTTTGGACATTTGTGGACATTGTGGACAAATAAATAAGTTAAAATTACTCAAAATTTTATTAAGATAACCTATTTTTATTTTTAAGTAGAATATGTTCAGTACCTAAAAAAATAGATAATTATATAATTTTAAATAATTTTATTGATTATTAAAGCTTGGACAAGCTTTGGACAACCTTGGACATGTGGACATTTTTGACGTGGACAAGGTCAAAAAAGGCTGTGGACAGCAAAAATGTACAACACTGACTGAAATTATAACCCATATGTTAATCCAAATCAAGAAATAATGTAAACAAGTTATAACTGTAACCTTTTCGTTTTAAATTATGGCATGTTGTAACATACATATTTACAATTGTTGTAACATATCAACATGGTTGTGAAATATGGTAACTATTGTATTTTATGCACCTGTAACTTTACAATATAATACAGCCTCATATAACTTTATATATTTTGAAACACTAAAATGGCAAGTCTTTAAAGGAATCGACTTCGTGTAACCGGCGTTTAAGGTTTATGCTGAAAGAGCATGTTAAGTTTTGTAAGTATTGTGACAATGTTCTGTTTATGCTCACTCTTTGTGACTTTTACCCTAGATTCCTGTATTTGTAGCCTATATGAAGAATGACTAGTGAATAGTTAAATTAATATACAGTCAAGCCTCTATATATGCACGCTCTATAAATGCACACCCTCTATAATTGCACCCTATGTCTCAGTCCTAA